TTTGAATACATGTATCAAATTGCATTTCACATGACATTTTAGAATAGCCGAGTCTATCTTAGTTGCATTTTGGATGTGTTACATTAGGCATTCTTGACATAGCTAGGATCATGAATTGATTTCTAACATAGCTTTTGTTTTGGCTCGGAGTACTCGGTGAGTGTTTATGCTTTAGCATCCTTGCATGCGTGTGAGTGACTATTATGATAGCATACTTGCCATGAGGCTAACAGCTTATGTAATATAACTGCCTGAATGCCTGTGGATGAAGGTTGGATTACTTGAATTGGAACAATTCAATGATTGCGAGTTTTAAGCCCATTTGAGAGTGGCAAATCACCATGTTTTCTATGCCCACTTGTGGGTGGCAAAATTCGCATTTTAGCCTACTTGCGAGTAGCAAACCGCTTTCAAAAACAAACATGAGATGTTTTGTTCCAACTTAGACGATCCAGTCTATACTTGTATGTTGTGCGCATCACATAATAATTCTAAGTTAATAACCGGAATAAGAGCACATGTGTTTTCAAAAACAAGATATCATATTAATAAAGGCCGATCTTTGATCGGGCGAGCGGGGGGTGCTCATTGCATGACCTTCCCCTCTCGTACCCAATTTCTCGAGCCGAGGCAACTTTGGTGATAACGGACACGTGGCCTTAGGCACGAGTCAGGGTTTCCTAAATTTCTCAAAAATAAAATATTTAGGTGGCGACTCTGTATCTGGCGAAGCAGTCCATGTTTGGCACTTCTTTCTAAAAATCAGTTTTTCAAAACGATTTGCCGAATTTGGACTCTTTGGTGATTTATCAATCTCGCATTGCACTTTGCAAGATCAAATTAAGAACCGTGACATTTGAGTCCGAACTGTAGTGAGCTTAATGAACAAAACGGGATTTTCTCAGGACGTTCGGGCGCGTCTATAGTTGTTTATCTCTAGCCAATCTTTGCTGAGAAACATTTGAATTCTCCTCCATATGCCTTGTGTTGGTTGAAGAGAATTCATCCGATCCATAAAGGATATTGCCTATATTTTCATTGTATTCATTAACTACTGTCTCATGGCATCTACGAGGCCTCTCCATGGATTTATTGGCTGATTTGATGGAACAGTGGATGGTCCAATTCCATGGCCTCATCCAATATTTTGAACATGTGGTGCATGTTCTGAATTATTGGTCTGCTTGACCATAGGTTCTGATGAGATAGGTGCTTCCATAGGATGTGTTATCACATTACCCTCTAGATCAGGTACCTCTACCTCTCCTTCCACACCTTCTTCCAAGAGTTCATTTTCTCCTTGTCTCCTACGTCTAGCCATTTCAATTAGTCTCATTGGGCGTGCCAAAAATATATGTTGGCTTTTTTGGCTTTCGAAGATTAATATTATAATTTTAAGCGTGCCAGCAAGGATCAATCAGTCGTTACAGAAGATTAATTGCTAACCAATTATCAGACGATTGTGTTTTAGTTCTCTCAGTCTTAATGAAGAGGACTTTTACTGGTGATTTGTTTAGGAGAATTTAGTAAATAACAATTAACGAAGAATAATTTCAGAATTTCAATAGGTAAAATGAAAAACTTATAATGATCTGATCCAGCCTCGTAGAGGTCTACAGCAACAAACTATTTGAAACTACTCCTATGAATGAAGTACAGTGCAGAAATTTAAAGTACAAAAATGTAAAGAACTGTAAAAATTGGAAGGGAAACAAAGTAAATAAAACTGCTTTTTTACTCTAAGTCTGGCTCCTTCATTCTGGGGCCTTCTCTGCTCTTCTCAATGATAACCGTCGAAATGGGCTTCTAACCGTCGAAATGTCTTGCTGAACATGCTCTCTCACAGTCAATCCCACTACGCCATATTTGTAGTTAGGCTTCCCTCCTGATTTTGAATTTGAACTTTGTAAGTAACCGTTAGGCCACATCACCTTATATCCCTTGATTGTTCCAGTGCTACGCAGATTCATTATTATCAATACGGGCTGACACGTGCCTGATTTTGATTAGCAACGTGTATTAACTCCCTAAATTGCCCTCTTCATGCCACGTGTTGAATTGTGATTCGTTTTTATAATTTGTATAGCCAATAATATGTATCAACTATAGCGGAGCGGAACAATTCGGTTAACGGATTATAAATTTTAAAGTTTAAATCGAAGTTAGCGATTTGTACGAATTGATACAAATCGATGCAGTTTTAACGAATTAAGCGATATTTTACACAACCTAACAAGGACTAAGGTAGTTTGGCTTGGTATTATGTCATGCCACTTGTTCAAGTTCAATGTTTAATTTCATTTTCAAGATTCCAGTGTAAAAATTTATTAAAAAAATGGATTAATGTAAAAAATGCAGATGCTTAATTTATCATATAAAATTGACATGAATAATTTGAAAAATATTTTACAAAGTGAATATAATTAGAAGTAATTTAATTTTTTTTAATGAATTATTCAATTACCAAGGCTCGAAGGATGCAGAAGCTTATTCAAATTTGAAAAAAGAGCATCGCGAATTTGACGGTGGTATTATATGCACCAATTAATATACTACTACATTATTATGACCCTACTCATTAATCACATTACAAATTTTAAAAACCTCTTCAATTATGTCACATTAATTCATTAATTGATACACTAGTTAGTATATCAATTGATGCATATAACATTATTCCGAATTTGCAATCCAAAACTTGAGTATCGTTTAAATAAATGTCATATGCAGTTACTTTTACAATCAATTTAATTTGCTACAAAAATTGATAATATCACCACGGTAAATGAAAATGGCTGGTAGCTCGAAAGTGAAGGGTTAAATGGGTCGAAAATATTCTCTTACCGGTAAGAGAATACAAAAAAAGCCTAAAACGACGTCGTTTTGGGATTTCGAACCATTCGACCCTCTGATATTTCGAGCTACCAACCAGAGTTGCCACGATAAATTTGATAATTTCTCATTGGTTTTTTATCATAAAATTATAAGAGAGTTAGATTTATCTAGAAAATATTTTGTATTTTGAATAAACTATAATTTTAACTCTTACAATTTGATTTAAGCTATATTTTATTATTTATTATTTTAATTTAAACAATTTAATTCATCAACTTATCATTCGATTTGATCATTCTAATCAATTTTGCCGCTATTTGTATTTATTTAATTTAAAACTATTTTTAAAAATTACAAAACAAATTACCAGATATTTAAAACTATTACTACACATCATAATAGCTCATTTTATAAGAACAGATTTTAAGTTTTCGACCCTCAATTTCTGGGTCAATCTATGGTACAAAATCACTCTAGTTTTTTTTGTTTTTAATTCAAAAACCAAGATGTACAGATAAACTATTCAAACATATCACTAAAAAATATCCCCATTAACATCTACGGCATATCTAGAGATAGCATCTACTGCATATCTGGAGAAGGCGAAGTCCCTTAGCATCTAACGAAGTCCCTTAGCATCTAAAGCAAATCTACGGAAAACTTCACCGCACCTATGTTAAGGCCGTAACTTAAGCTCCGCGTGCTCCAGGAGAAAAAATCCCAACTCTTAAAATCCTTTTCAAAGACCCGCAGAATGGCATCACAATCTGTTAAGTTTTTAATGTTACTTTTGTTCTCTGCTAAACTAAACATTTTCCTTCTGCTAAATGATAAGGTCATCACAAACTTGAATAAAATTTTACTAGATATTTAATTTGATATAAATATTTCAATGGACAATTTTAGATTTAATTATAAATTTGAGTAAAAACTTTAATAATGGCACAATATTGGTCTTTAAAATATGAATCTTTATTGATTTAGAAAAAAAAACAAGGTAAACTAGGCTCACACCACTTGAGATTTATGTTTATTATAGTTTTTACTCGCACATTTTGGGGATTGTTATGTAACTTTAAAACTCATGGAACAATCTATAATGAAACTTAAAACCTCAAAGAAGGAGATTACAGCATGTTTGATTTGAATTTGTAGAGTGATTTTGAAAAAAAAATTTAAAAGATTTGTTTGGTTGTAAATTTTTCAAATCACTCTCTATTACCTATCAATCAATCACTTTTTCTCTCATCTCTCTCCTTCTCAATTACTTTTTTTCTCACACATATCGACTCAATTATAACAAAATATCAAATTATTTCAAATTTCTAAACTCTAAAACTACTTTCGAAATACATAACCAAACAAACCAAAAAAATTTCTAAACTCTCTTCCCAAAACAATTTTTAAACACTACTCTCCCAAAACCAAACCAAACATATTCATAATTTCTAAAAGGTAAAGGAAAAACTGTAATAAATATAAACCTCAGGATGTCAATGTAATTTACACAAAAAACAAAAACTCAATTTTATATTAAAAAAAACCACAGCGATAATGTGCCTGTTTGGTGAAGCTTAAAAACTATTTATTTTAACTTTCAGCTTAATTTAAACTATTTTGATGTGTTTAGCTTAGCTTATAACTTATAACTTTTTGGAAGTCAGAAATCAACTTATTTTTTAGTAGGGCAAGAGATGCTTAATTTCAACTTATGTTTATTGTTATAAGTTATAAGCTGTTTAGGCATAAGCTATAAGCACTTTCCCACAACGCTACCAAACAGGACTAATAGTTCAGATTACATCAGAGTGTAAACAGGGTAAAAGTAACAGTAAGCTGATATACCAAAAGCACAAAGCAAACTGTGTCGCAAGTCCTGTTTTTGAAAAACACTTTCAATTTTTGCCCATTTAACGAGATGCATAGCCATTGATATATTATAGTCTAGGCATTAGATACCTTGGGCAATGAAAAACAACAATAGATACAAACAAATCATAAAAAATAACTAAAATTCTAAATCAGTTCTCCGCAATCTCAGCCGAAAGATGGTGGATGAATATGTTCATGCGTTAATCACTGAAAAATCAGCACAATTAACATCTTTCATCACAGATTGCAAAGATCGAATTAAAAAACAAAAAACAAAAAAAAAAATCGAGGAAGAGAGGTCAGATGGTAGTGCATGTTAGGAATCATCATCCAATATTTTGCAGAATTGATTGGGTTAAAACATCATCACACCTCTCTTTTTTATTATTGTTAATGATAAATTATACTATATATACACGAGTATAAACACAGAAAAGCAAAGTGAAAAACCAGATTTGAGGAAAATTGAAAGGAGAAGATGGAATGAGAATCAGATCATAATCAAGTGTCGATCACCATCAAGCGTCTACAGATGCTTGTAAGACTGGGGCGACAACAATAATCATCATATTCAACACCATAAACAGATCAGAGATATAGATAGATAGAGAGAGAGAGAGAGAGAGGGGCGGAGAAGGAAGTATTTAAAGAAGGTTTTTAGGGTTTTGCCAAAAAAAATGTTGGGTTGGATCTCGATTTGGGCCAGAGTAGCCCAACTAGATATCACCCTTGCAAGGCCCATCAAAGAGTCAAAAAGCGCTGGGTGTGGCTGCTGGGATTCGAGCCCAGGTCTCCACGGCCACAACGTGGAATTCTTACCACTAAACTACAGCCACCAGTTGTTGATACTGGTAAAATTAAATTTATAACTACATTAAAACACAGTATTAGTGGAGATTGGCAAGTATAAAGAAATAGCAACAATTTGATTAGTGATCCACCTATTAATTGACTAATAATATTTTAGTTCGATCTAAAGCTTATTTTAGAATTCGTAACGTATATATTATTTTATTTTCTCATGTGGTTTAAATTTTTTGAACTATAATGCAAATATTGTTTTAGCTCCCGTACATGAAAATCTGATGTTAATAGCTCATAAATGATAGTTGTTGGATTTTAATATTCTAAATTCATACTTAACTACTCATAAATTATTTAAAATTGTAATTTTGTAGTTTAGATTTATTTTATATATAGATCTCACATTATACAAATTCAATCTCAATCAAGAGTGATTTAGAGGGAAGCTAAATAAGTAGCTTATTTGGCTTCGTTTGATAAATGGGTTGATTTTTTAACTTTTTGGCTGCATGGGGGCTAAAAAGCCTTATATGGATTAAGCTTTTTGATTTTTTTGATTTTTATGAGAGAAATGGGAAGCCATGGTTTGGGCTTTTTCGGCTATTTTAGCCACAAAAAATAAAATAAGCTATTTTAGCCATAACAAACAAAACATCACATCCAACCCATAATCATTACATTCTTCTCTCACAAAAAAACTCAAAAAAACCAAAAAGTCAAAAAGCCCTTCCCAAACCAAGCTTTTAAGCCCAGGCTAAAATAGCCAAAAAAGTCAAAAAGCCAAAAAACCAACCCACTTCCCAAACGGAGGCAAAATAATTATAATTTGAATGTGATATTTTCACCTTGTTTGGGAACATGCTATATTAGTAAGTTTTTGACTTTTTTACTAAAATATGAGGTAAAAAAAAAGCTAGTATGTTTGGGGTGGCGTTTTGAATTTTTACGAAAAGATATACAAAAAGTAAAGAGAAAAAATAATCTTTGACTTTTTAGTATAGGTTATAGGTTTTTTGACTTTTTTAGTAATTTTTTGACTTTCTTGTTAAAATGTTAACTTGCCAAACGAGACCTTTGTCACATTGACTTTGTAATCGTATTTTTGTGACTTCTATAACCTGGTAGTTCCATGCCAAATGAGAATTTTATTATAAGTTATCACATCATTTCTCTACTTTAATTTATATTTTTTTGTAAAAAGCCAATAAACAAAAAAAATAAGCAAATCCCAAATCACTTACACTAGTCTAATTTAAGATAAATATTGAAGGCAGTGACTTTGGTCCAGTCCAAGAACAGACTGGGCCGTGTTGTTGGGCCTGTGTGGGTGCACCACGGGTCCCGTTTTGATAATCTGGACCGTTCAATGTGTAGAACTCGTCGAGTACTATATGCCTGTAAAAAATCACGTTGATTGGATATCGATAGCTATGTGAACAAAATAATTTTTTTTATCAACCGTTAATTGTTTCACCGTCAATTTTTTTTATACAAAAATGATTTGATCACATAGTTATTGATATCTGATCAACGTGATTTTTTACAATTATGTAGTGCTTGACGAGTTCTACATATTGAACGGCTCGAATTATCAAAACGAGCCCAAAAAATAGACCCCATAAACCGAACTAGACAGGTCCAGTCTTGTTCTCAACTTGAGACAAGTTGGACCCCATATTGAATGGGTTGATAAACATTTTTTCAAATTTTAAGTGATATGGACGTAATAAGCAAACTTACAAGTGGGTAGACCTACTAATCCCTACCACTATAGCCCTCGTGTACAAGAGTTTTTATAATTGGAAGTCTATAATAATTAAAATTTTAATTTGTTACAATAATTAAATCATACTATTTTTTTTTTTTTTTTGGGTACCATTGTAAAATAGGAGATTTATTAGAAAAAAAAAAATTTAATAAGTCCTATTATTTGAATATTTGATTTACCAAATCTTAATTCTCATATTTAAAATATTTTATGAATATTTCTACCCTTATAATTTTTTTTTGAATGATTAGTAATTTGGTGATATGAACATTCATATTATATAATGTGAATATTCACATTAACAGTGTGAACATTCACATTACGAAACATTCATATTGTAAATGTGAATATTACTAAGGATATTTTAATAATTATATCATTCATCAAATTTATTCAAATATAAAAAATAATGTAAATTAAATGAAACATAAATAGGTCAAAAGGATTTTCTGAAAAAATGCCCTCGTAAAATAGTTAAATGGACTTCAAAAACTGAAAAAGATTCTGGTCACATTTTCAACGCATATATTATTTTTTTAAAAAAAAATCAGAAAAACAAATCAAATATGGCATTGTGTGTGTAGCTGGACTCTTAAAAATTGGTCCACAATCTGAACTCGGTAGGCCTCAGCCCAATTGGGAGTTTAAGGCCCACGCTGATTGGAAACCCTAGTCCTACGATATGTACCAAACCAAGATCGATCTAACCGAGTCACCTGGAGAGGGGTTCTGCGAAAAGAGACGAGAGAGAGAGAGAGAGAGAGAGAGAGACGAAGAGAGACTCTTGAGTCACCATGAGGGCTAAGGTTTGCGTTCTTTCCATCAAGTCCTGATTTTTATTTCGATTGATTGTGGTGATTGAAAGCAATCAATCACAAGAGTATAAACATCTTGATTTGTTTGGTAGCCGAGAAACCATAGGAAAAGGAAACTTGGATTCAACCTTAAGCTGTTCTTCGATTTTTTCAAATATTTATTTATTTTTAGCTTTAGTAGCATTTTACTGGTTTATGTAAATATTGCTCTGCATATATTTGGCTCCTTTTGGTTTATGTTTTGAAAAGAATTTTGAGTTGTATTTTGAAATATAAGTTGTTGAAATGGGTTTTGAAATTTGAAAATTTGTTTGGTTATGAGTTTTGAAAATAATTTTGGGATGATTTGTAGTTTATTTTATTTATTTAGGGTTGAATATGAGAAAATTTGATTGATTGATTGATGTTGTAGAATGTGAGAGAACGAGAGAAGAGAGAAAAATTGATTGATTGATGTTGTAGAATGTGAGAGAACGAGAGAAGAGAGAAAAATTGATTGATTGATTTATTAATATATATATATATATATAAAATAAAAAATAAAATAAAAAGGAGAGGATAGAAAAAATAATTTTAAAAAGAAAAACATGTTGTTTTGATTTCTTGATCCAAATGTTAATTTAAAAACTAAATCAAACACTATCTTTGTTTCTCTCTCTCTCTCTTTTTCTTTTCATTTTTTTAATAAAATGTTTGTTTAGAGAAATTAAATGTGATCATTAAATTGCTGTCTCGTATTGTTTTCTAGTCTCTATGTTAAGAGTATTAGTGACAATTTGTTCACTGTAAATAACCTTTGGCGAGACATAAGAATTAGGCCTCGTTTGGGAACAGGCTAATTTAGTAACTTTTTGGCTATTTGGCTAAAAATGTAGGTAAAAAAAACTTATATGTTTGGGATGACTTTTTGGCTAATTACGAAAAGATGTGCAAAAAGTAGAGAGGAAAGAGAATCTTTAACTTTTTGGTATAAGTTGTTGGCTTTTTGACTAATTTAATAATTTTTTGGCTAATTGACTAAAAAAGTAAGTCTCCAAACGGGGCCTTAATATATAAAAGATAAACAGAACTATCATAAATCAAAGATTGTCAAAATTATTGTGTAAATGGTAATATTAGTGGGAGTCCTCTATGCACTTGCCAATGTTGTTTTGAATTGAACAAGAAGTATCTATGTGCAGCATTAATTTATTCATCATTAAATTACTAGTTGTATTCAATGGGAAATTAACAATTGCTCACTTACTATTTATAGTGGAAGAAGAAGCGCATGAGGAGGTTGAAGAGGAAGCGCCGAAAGATGAGACAAAGATCCAAGTAGACTATGCATTTTGACAACGTGGGCTTCTCCTGATTTGCCACCTTCTTTCACAGTTGTTGGCAGGTGTTGTCCGGGGAGTAGGTGGGGGAATTCAAAGGAGGAGTGTTCTTTGTCCAGTGCAGTTTCTATATTAAACTTTTGTAGCACTATCAAGAGTTTAGTGTTAAATGTTTGAGGGTACTCGTTTGATATCTCATTTCTGTGACTGAATAACTTATATATTAACCTTCAGTTTGAACTTTTGCTCAATGTGTTTGTTGAGTTCAATAAATTTGTTAGATATGCTATCTTTTGAATGCACTTTTGCTCAATGTGTTTGTTGACTTGATTGAAAATATTACGCAATTTCTTGGGTGCTTTCTGAGTTTCTTGATGCTAACTGGTTTGTTAGTGCTGGAAAATGTCCCAGATGATATCTCTTCTGTCAGTATTTTGAACTCAACATACCCTCGAAGATTTAACTTGAAGGAGACTTGAATGTAAGGTCCTAGTGCCAAAGCTTTTGGTAGTAAGTTATTATAGTTCATGTGATAGTAAGTCATTATAGTTCATGTGATAATTTTCTCCTATTATCTCTAATAATATGCTTGAGCAAATGAATTGGCTATATTTTATGATTGTGTTGGTAAATTGCTCAATTGCTTGGATCTTGGTAAGCATTTTGCAAAATTTCAAGTTGCACTCGTTTGAAGCACGGTGAACACCATCCAGTAGGAATGTTGAACTGCTCTTCCAATTCATGGCAACAATTCAAGCATTTGATTCAAATGTGTATGCCCATGGTATTAGAAATTGGGTTTCAGTGGCATCAAACCAGGTTGTTGATGAGTCACAACCTACATGGTTCAATTGCATTCGGTTGGAGACTCTTACACACTAATCATTTATAAAAAGTTCTGCAATAATCCAACTTTGGATACTTGCTTTTCAAATTTCTGGTAAAAAGTTCAAGAATGTATATCAAGATAAAACCAATGGTAAGTACTGTGTTCAGCATGAAAAACAAAATCAATTTGCTAGCAGAGAACAAGTCATTTACACGAGTAACAGAATTTCACAAAGGTCGGAATTGGAAAGCAGCAATATTGAAGCAAAGGATAGTATACATGATATGCTCAATATTCATTCCTTTCCCAGTTACCACCTTTCAGAGGCTTTGAGTGCAATTTCAATTCCCATATTGGCATTCATTTCATTAGTAGTCTACAGAACCCATAATTGAGCCAAACCCTTCTGGAGCCCTCATCTTGCTTGTATTGATCACAAATCCCTCATTCCATTTTGCTTTCTTCCGTGCTTTCAATTTTCTTTCATTTCTGTCTGATTTCTGCCTATAATGATAACCCCTCAAGGTCATATTGCATGACAAGTCTCTCTACTGTTTTCCGACTCATGACCTGTCTCAGGTGCAACTCTTTCAAAACCGCTGCAGCAAGCTCTCTTTCTTCTTCGTGGACAATACCTTCCACCACAATGGTATAAGTTGTCTCAACAGGCATGTAGCCCTTCTCAATCATCATCTCAAAAATCTCCAAAGACAAATCTGTTCTTCGTGATTTGCATAACCCAAGAATAAGTGCATTGAAATTTTCGATATCAGGTTGGTAGTTGTTTTCTTCCATGATCATAAATATCTCCATCGCCTCATCCAACATCCCTTCCATGCACAATCCTCTGATCAAAGACGAATACGTCAAGGAATGAGGTGTAAATCCACACTTCGTCATTTCATATAAAAGCAACAAAGCTGAGTATGTGTTTCCTTTCCTACACAAGCTTGAGATCACAGTTCTATAGAAGTCATGGATAAATGAGTTTTGCTTATCACTCAAGCTCTGAATTATAGAAAAAGCCTCATCAACCTTCCCTTCCTCACAAAGCACGGCAATGGCATTGTATGTACCCTCATTGGGATTGCAATGTTGATGAATCATTTGATCAAGACACTTAACTACACTATCTACTTTCCCATCTTTGCATAGACGAGCAATAATTGGGTTATAGGTAGCAGCAGTGGGTGTGAACGGTCCCTTGAACATTTCATCCAACACCTTGAGGGCATGATCAGTCTGACCGTGATAAGCAAGCGAACCAATTAGTATATTGTAGGTAACGACCGATGGCGAACGATCCTCCCCTACCATCTCTTCAAGAAGTGAATTTGCCTCCTCCCAACGCCCTTCGTAGCACAAGCTCCTCAACAAAATATTATGGCTCACAACATTGGGACTAAACCCTTTAGAAGGTAAATCCCTAAAGAAACTTATTGCCTCATCAATCCTACCTTCTTTGCACATCCCGGTTAACAAAACATTGTAACTAACCAAATTGGGTTTTCCACCCTTAGCAATGATCTCATCCAATAGTCTCATCGCTTCACTTACCCCTCTCTCTTTATAAGCAGCTCCGAGCAAGAAAGAGTAAGTGAATACATTAGGAACCAATCCTTTCTCCATCAACCTGTCTAAATAATGCAAGCTTTGATCCAAGTTTCCGCGCATACAAAGCCCTTTCACAAGAGAATTGTATGTAACAGTATTGGTTGGATATCCACATTCCTCCATTTTTTCGACTAATTGCATTGCATAACCAACATTCCCTCTCCTACACAAATGATCCACCAAGAAATTATAGGTAGACGGATCCAGTGAACAACCTGAATTAACCATCATCTCCATCACTCTAGTAGCCTTTCGGAGTTTGTTCAACTTACAAAGATCATACAAGAGCTGCGTGGCATGACCCACATCAGGCTTGTGTCCCTCCCCAACCATATATTCCAAATACAGAAATGCATCATTGAGTCGAAGATCCCTAGTTCTTGGGTCATTCCTACCAGAGCTCCAATTGGGCATTGTGAAAACAGTTTCTTTTGGCGATATGGCCATCTGGGTAGATGCCAAAACTTTAGAAAAACCCATGGTGAGTGAAAAGGAATGGAGATTTGGGATTGGGGAAAAGTACCCACAAGGCTTTCTTGCATTTTCTTGAGATGGGTTCTTTATAGGGGAAACTGAATTTAGGAGGACTGCCATGAATTGAATAACTTCAAAGATATTTAATGGGTAGTGATAGGGTTAATCAAGATCTTGGGTGTGTACTTGCTAGTAAGTGGTTGAATAAGGAGTAGATATGAGCAAATAGAGATATATAATGGTAGACAAATACAATAATACACTGAACTCTCAACATGAACAAATCTTCAAACCAAAAAAATAAAAAAAGATAATATAAGAAACTAGAAAGAGGGAAAAGAGAGAAAGAGAGGTGGGAATTGATTCTTACACTTGGGTCTTAATGGCTGTCAAGAAATCTTGATTCTTCTCAAACAAAGAGATGGAAATGGAATTGATGATCGATTTCCACTGTTATGCTTTACTTCAATTTTTATTTTTTTATTTTTTTGTTATTTGTTGTTTTTTCTGTTTACTAGAATGAAATTTTTTGTTAAAAAATCAAGGAACTTCGCTGCTTTACTCAGTCCATCAGTCCCGTCCACAACTCCACCCCTCGTTATCCAATTGCAGTCGATTGATGAACCTCACGCACAGCACGTGCGTGTACACTCCGATATCAGGTTAGTTCAACTAAAATATTATTTGAAATAATCCAAATAAATGTATTTTTTTAATTTTTTATGAAAATATACACACAAAAATAAAGAAGTGATGTAACCTAAAAAAAATTAAAAAATTACTTATATAACACACCCCAAACAAGTAATTAATTTTGGCCTTAAAAATTTACTTTTTCTCACTTCTTTTTTTTATATTTTAATTTTTTTAAATTTTTTTCTCTAATTTATTCTAAAAGATAATTTATATCTAAAATTAAATAAAAAATAACACATTGATAATTACATGACATAAAAATATTTTATTACATGTAACTCACACAAATATAAAATTTAATATAATAATATATTTTTTATGCTATATAATAGTTAATGTGATATGTTCTATCTAATTTTAAATAAAAACTAACTTTAAAAATAAATTGACAAAAACTTAAAATATGAAAAAAAAAATTAACTTTAAAAATAAATTAACAAAAGCTTAAAAATACTACATATATAATTCCTTGAGTTCCTTACCACACTGCCACTCTCCCACATAACCACCACTAGGGGTGTGCATAATACCACCAAAACCGCAGAAACCGTCAAAACCGCACCGCCAAGGCAAATTCATTATTATTTGTCAATCGAACCGCCGATTTTTGGTAAGAAAAATGACAAATTCTAGTGACATTTTTATCAATCCGCCGGTTTCTATTTTTCTTCCAAACCGCACCAACCCGCACCGCTATTAAATCATGTTTTATAGGATTCTAAAAATTCTTTTTTACTTAAGTTTGCTTGTTGTTCTATACCTTAGAATATAGTATTACATTAATGCTCGAGGAAAATTTTATGTATTGTATTTGATCATTGCAGCTTCCACAGATACTTGTAATGAACTGATGACATAGTCGTTGATATTATCAAGTTGTTGCTACACTTGCTGCATCAGAAGAAAGCTTCGCAAGATGCTTAACATCATGATGTCTCTCGTCTTTTTTTTACTCTTTGATTTAAGTTTTGTAATTTGAATTATATTTTTTATAAACCGCCAATATATAAAATTTAATATAATAATATATTTTTGATGTTATATAGTAGTTAATGTGATATGTTCTATCTAATTTTAAATAAAAACTAACTTTAAAAATAAATTAACAAAAGCTTAAAAATATATCTATACTACATATATAATTCCTTGAGTTCCTTGCCACACTGCCACTCTCCCACATAACCACCACCGCTCCAGTACAAGTGGGGAGCCGTGGCATGATCTAAGAAGAGGAAACAAAGCACAGGTTTCCAAGACACGTTGCATTACAAAGAGGCAGTAGTCAACTTTGTGTTAAAGTGAACTGCCACCAGTGGTAGAAAGGGTGAAGAAAGAAGAGACACCCAACACTACCAAGAAGGTGAAATTGCTATAAATTGATGAAAAAGGAAGGCAAACAAGTAATCAAATCCCACATTTCAAGCAGTAAAACACAGAGAGAGAGAGAGAGAGAGAATGACGACGAGCAAGGACGATATAAAGCATGGGACAGCGCAAGCAAAGCAATCAGAAAATGAAGCTTTGCGAGTGAGGTACAAATCAGGCACCCCACTTGAAGAAGGGAAGATTGCTGATTCTCAAACTGTTGATCTCCTCTCCTGCTCACATCTCTTATCAAAACCAAAACATCTCTGATCAATCCCAGTGGCATCCTTCCTACACCAATAGTGGAGGATCCACCACCACCACCACTGGTTGATGGGGCTGCCACTGCCAGTGACTTGTCTTTGTTTTTCTTGATCAGAGCTAATGTAAGAAATGATCAGAGCTAATAAGGTTATCTCAACCATTAATAACTTGGCAATCTGTCGTTTCAAATTTACAATCAAAGATTCCAAAATTTTGAGTCATAAAAACAATTTTCTCATCTACTTTACTACCAAGGGACATTCCGCACAAGGAAAATTGGTGAGTTGGGGGCAAAACTGACAATTTCAAAACTCCAGTAGAAAGGTGAGAGGTCCACCAGCTACAACAGATCCTCCAAAGATTTGGCTGTATCAAATTCATAAGTAGCCATAGCAGAGCATAGAGCTTCATCTCCTCAAACATTCTAAATTGATTTTTCTTTCCCCTTCCAGCCAATTCAAACCTGCCTTCAATAGTTTTGAAGACACTTTGAAACTTGTACTCTTCAATAGCTTGAATAACTGCAGAAGACATCACTGAATTTTGACCGGAAAGACAACAAGAAAATGTAGATATGCATCTATCTGCAGTGATCACTCTACAGTAGCTGTTCTCTTTTCTAGCAACGACTCCAAAAATGATGAACATAATTTGGTCAGAGGAGGAAGGCTATGAGATGATCCACTAAATATGGTCTCCCATGGCTTTTCTGATGCTACAAATGGGGCTGGCAGAGTCTGCTTTCCCGCCTTCAAGTCGAACTCTGGTAACTCCCCATAAATAGATGCATAACCGAACTGGCCTGTAAAAAGGAAAGGCGAAGAATCACCCATTAAATCTTAGGGAAACAAAAACTCCGTAGAAACAAATTCTTGTTACTTGACAGATCCAGTACAACTACAACTGCAATGTTAGTTACGAAACCAAAAGGGAATTTTAACAGAATAATTTCAGTTGTCAATTAACAGATTCAGTGCAACTACAATTGCAAGGTTAATTAAGATGCCAAAAAGGAATTCAAAGAATAAAAAATTCAGCCTCCCTGAAAGAGTGCAACTACTTTTGTCAATTTTTTAGTTCCCTGGATAAATGAAGCAGCCCCAAAAGTAACCATTTCTAACATTGATTACCGACATGCTCAGCAAAATGTAAGTCGTATTTATATTTCCAATCTGATAAATCAGATGAACCAAAGGATCCAAAATTCCAATGTAACAGCACAAATTCACACACAGCCCACAAAAAAAAAAAAAAACTGCAGTTACACAGAATCTGATTTTCTATAATATAATGTATGAATATGGATATGAAAGAAAAAAGTAGTAGAAGTCTTGACCATTACCAGTCTCCTGAAAACCAGATAGATTCTGCCGACGAGCCATGCCTTGCTCACATGCTTGTTGTTCAACATATGGGTCAAAGAGGATGTATTCATGATCACCATTTATATATGCAAGCAACACTGAGACTGGATTTTCATCTGAAATCTTCTCTTCCAAGGCACTTGGATTTGTATGAAGAAAAGCAAGCCCCCCTCCCAGTGCCTACAGTGAGAATGTTAAAATTTGATGAACGATAATGCAAACAACAAGATGTGGGAATATAACACATGAAAGTGAAATGCAATTGAAATTATCTTGTGACCACAACATTACTAACAGTGTCATTGAAAAAAAAAATTTGCATAGAAAAGTATACAGAATGATATGATGTGGCAAGTTGGAGCTATCACTATCAAACACAACTCCTATCAGAATACTTGTTAATACACATTATTCTGATGAATGAGAAAAAAAAAATACTAATTAAACAACCAAGCATCTTGTTGACACACTACCTAAGAAGCACGGACACGGACACGGACACGGACACGTGACACGACATGAATACGACACGGACACGCCAACACGTTAATTTTAAAAAAATGCAGGACACGACATGTGGAGGACACGCATGAAATATATAATTTTATATATTTATTATATATTATATATATATGAATATATCATTCAAAGATAATAAAAAATGCAATGTAGCACTATTTCCTATAAATTTATATGGTTTTCGTTTTATTATTGTATCTTAAGTTGTTTTGTTCAAACTTATAATTAGTTTCACATACGTATAATCAATAGACACATTTGTTTAAACAATTGACACGTGTGTCCTCCAAGTGTCCAAAGAGCGTCCGGGTCTTTAAAAATATTTAAAAAATAAGACACGTTTTGAAGAGTATCGGACACGTGTCCAAAGAGTGTCCAAAGAGTGTCGGTGTCCGACACGGACACGTCACCTTCTTAGAAGTGTCCGTGCTTCTTAGCACACTACTACTAGTATTATGGATTTGTAGTTGTCCACAAAGGCAGAAAATTTGTTTTAAAAACAAATGAAAACAAAAGTTGCACAAAATATTTGCAATGCACCAGTGATTATTTAGGTTCAGTAGCCAACATCTAGCCTTAAAAGAAGAATTGAATCTCACATGAGTGATTCAATTTGCATATAACTGATATTATTGGAGAAAGAACTATTGCATATAAGAACCAAGATTAATCCCATTACACTTGCATAGAAAGCCAACCATATTAGTCCAATCAATACAAGGAGATTTGCATCCCTACAAATTAGTTCTCTAGGCCTACGTAAGCCCATCAGTTTGAGCATTACCCATTAGTAATCATACCTATACATTCACAATTACAATTATAAACATTTATGAATAAACATGTATATAGGAACGAATTAAATGAAAGACATTATTTTCAATGGAAACCCAACTTAAACATTTACTTATAATACACAATTTTTTACTACAATAGATGCAATTATAACACTAGTGCAGAAATATATGCAAAAGCCCGTGAGTAGCTAAATATGTTCCCTGCTCAGAACAAGAACAAAAAGGGGGCAGTTTTTACAAGAAAATAGGAGAAGAGTACAATATATCATAGGAGAACAAGGAGACTACAAGAATATAGGAGAACAAGGAGTCCTCCAAAGAAGGAAATACAAAGACAAATGAAGTCTCTTACTACGTATCATACACCATCCTCGTATCTCTAGAACGTCATTGGATTGATTGGACTGGGTAAAGTACAAATATAATTTTAACAAATGCATAAAAAAAGTTTCTTACCTTCTTTACAAACCAGGTGGCCACGGGAACTGGGTCTCCAACCTTGAATAATAAAATTGCTCCATCTTCACTTGGTAATGTGGTTACATTAGATTCTGTAAGTTTAGATGATTCAGGAAGACAGGCGAGAACAGCAAAGGAAGAATCATCCTGGGTGCATGCTACAGCTGCATGAATACACAAGATATTACTAAAATGCCTGAATGAATCAAGGGATGCCACATGAGCATTACACAAGGAAACTGGGTCAGGAAAACTGCTTGGATTGAGATATCGAAAGGAGCAATTCCCCCCTCGCCTTCTCTCTCTGTGGGGGGAATCTAGGCTGAGAATTTGGAAATTCTTGTAAAGAAAACATGCAATTGCTGGCATAGCTACTGGGTATCATACTCAATTACCAACTGAATTGTAAGGCCCCTAAAATATGTATTTACTTTTAAGACCTTAATTATGAATTATTTTCTTAAAGCCCTCGTTTACTTGAATTAATTCGAATCTTGTCGGTTAGCAATTTCTTTTTTTTTCTTTTTTTTTTATCGAAACAGAAATTTCTCTAACCAGATTAGTTTCCCTAACTTAATTTAATTCTACCTAGGTTGCATGTAATTAACTTCAAGCCCTCACTCTTTATTTAAATTTTAAACTTACCCCAAATTAGTACTTGTACCTTGGTATATCATCAATCTTGCAATATATATATATATATGTATACACCTTGAGGGATGTGCCCTTGTACCTAAAATTAATAAAAAAATAACCCCATCATCCTAGGGAGAAGAGAGGAGCCAATTTTCAATATATATCATCATGATATTCTAGGAAACCTAAACCTAGTACCCTAGACTTAGGTTGTTAATTCCAAAACTAGTTCCTTTCTAACTAGTGTTGCCTAATCATTGACCAAGCCTCCCAAATTCCTTCCATTTCCTTAGAATCCAAACAAATCCTAACATTTTCATCCATTTCCAACTAATGGACTTTTAAGACATTTTACATCAAAAATTGTCTATAAATATCAACCTCCCCTAGCTTACAAACTCACACAACACACTCACTCACACACACATTTTGGTTAGAGAGAGGGAGGAGAGCAAGGAAGAGAAGTCTAGAGGAGAAGAGGGAGGAACAGAAGAGTTTCTTGTGCCTTTGGAAGGTAAGCCACAAACACAACCTTCTCTTCATTTCCTTTTCTAATGCATGTTTTTGAAGATCCTAAATAATGTTTTCCAGATCTGTTATTATCAAGTTTTTATGTTAAAAATACTAAGATTTGAGTATTTCCCCATTTTGGCACAAAACCGTCTTCTTTTTGTACCAATCTCTTAATTTTTCAAGGGCACTCCTTCAAACAAATTTTCTGAGTTAAATATGGGATAGTTAACATATTTTCCTCACAAAAGAAATGAAACTTTCCCATGGTGGAACCCCCTTTTTATAAATTTTCTTGTTTTGGGCATTCTGCAATAAAACCTGTTTTTGCAGTCAGCTTTCAAAAATTCCAGAAAAATGTACAAAAATATTTTGAACCTCTATTTTATGTCAAAACCTTCCTTTAGAAGTTAGCTTTCAACTAAAATTGGTTTCATCGAAAAACATTGAGCAGTTTGCAAGAAAATCAAGTTTTCGTAACAGTCGATGGATCTGGGCAGATTCTGGACAGATCCTGGACAGTGCTGAGATACTTTCTAAATCATCTAGAAACGGGAGGAACAACCCCAATTCCGAAAAATGTTCTATAAACCAGATCGAATCCTCTATAAACCATAGGAAGGCCAAGCCGGTAAAGGGTCTAAAATAGCTCTTTCATCTTAATCTTTATGCGATATTAAATTTGGAAACTTTGTTAGGTGTGGATATCTTGTACCTTTGAGTTCATGAGAATGTTTGCAGCTTATAATCATATCTTGATCTGATAATATATGTGCTGTGATTATGTTATTTACCTTTCTTATAAGAATGTTTGTAGCTTATAACCATATCTTGATCTGATAATATATGTGTTGTGGTTATGTTATTTGCCTTTTCCGTCTAAAGATTGCATACTCATATGGATATTATTGTTTTATAAGTTAAGCTAGTCTTGTCTTAAAATACTTAATTCAACGGGAAACCAAATGGGAGGGTACTGGGTTTTCGAACATTTGAGTAATGACAAGATGAGAAAATGTGATATATGGATAATTGGGGGGGCGTTCCCTTTCTGAAGGTTAAAAGTCTTGCGCAAGTGGTTTTCAGAACCCTTGAACGGAGCGGTTGTATTCGGACCCTAGGTAGTTGGTGTAAGGAGGGATTTGGGCAAGGCCCTATTTGTACCGTCTCTTTTGAGGCCCTGCGTTTGGTGCTACGCGGTATATAACCGTTGGTAGGCATCCGAGGTTAGTTCTGCAACAAAGCAACAAAAGAGGGGGCATACCGAATAATCCGCGTCCGATTCTTGTGGTTGGGAAGACGGAATCTCTTTGGGGGATTTCTAGTTAACTGACATCTAACTTAACCATTTAATTATGTATTTATTGTTGCAGTATCATGCTTTACTACTTGATGTTATATTTTGTGATTGTGTATTGGACTGGGAAAAAGGGGTGAGGTGTGTGTATGTGTGTTTACTGGGCATTCAAAGCTCATGCCAGGTGACGAAGCGGAACTCATAGCGGAAGACGACGAGCCGGAAACCTTTGAAGACTTTTGGCTATCTTAGGAATACTAGAAATTTCCTTTTTGTTATTTTGTAAGACTCATATGAAGTTTAAAACTTTCTTTTTGGGATGTAATGTAATGGAACAATCTTTTGAAGCAAGTATAATTGTGGCTGGTATGTATTTATATCCTATGTATGTACCTTATCGTTGCTTATGAGACCTTGTACCAATGCCTTGTAAGATCTGTCAAAAAGGTAATGCGCTGCCTAAGAAAGCTGGACTTAGAAAGGAGGCTATTTTGACTCCTCCAGCGATCTGAGATCTTACTTGGTTATTGACCATAGGACTCACTAGTGACTTCCCTTGACTGCAACCTATAGTGTAGAATCGAGGCGTCACAATTTGGTATCAGAGCCTAGGTTCAACCCTTACCCATGCGTTTCGACCTGCGGTTAGAGACTACCTTGCCCTGACTATGTTAGAATCTTTCTTGACCTATCTTAGGGAATTTCTTCGAATTTCAGGCACGCCAGAATCAACTCATAAGGACCTACTTCAGGATCGTGAAATGGTTTTAACTTTGAGTGAGGCCTCACATCGCGCATTAGGGGGTACTACTAGTTCTATGCGTCTTCTATCGGTTGTCATACCCTCATCTTGTATTCATAACCTTTATTCAATGTCACCCTTTTCCAAGATTAAGTCTTGTCCATCTGGTCCTGTTTTATATACTACTATTTGTAAATTCGACCTCCTTTGACCCTTGATTATTTTATTTAGCCCAAGACTTCTTGTAAATAATTTCATTTTCTTTACTCGGTGATGAATCTTGGATATTCAGTTTGAAACGCGGATGGTCAACGCAGTTTCAAGTTAAATATCTAGTTTAGTCACTACATCTATAACCATTGATCACATTGAAGTTCAAAACCATAACATCATACCATTCATCCATATTTCAGTTAATCCTGACGTTATCACCATAACTGCTTCGTATTCTTCGTCTCCACTTTAATCCAATTTTAAGAATCTTGTAATTATTATTATGTATATATGAAGTTGTGCTGTGTGAACACCCTAAGATAATCAAACTCTAACTTAAGATTAGTTGCTTACCCATAAGGAATTGCCTCTGTAGTTAGAATTTGACTTACGTCTCACCCCATTCAAAGAAAAACAAATGGTGGACCATACTTCGAGACAAGTAATAACATGAGCTTGCAAGCAACAATAGAAATGCAGTACCAAGAAATCAAAACCTTAAGAATGGACTAGTAACCGTGGCTAAAACCCCGAACCCTATCAAGAATCAAATTTTGGAAGAGTCTTACCATCTTTGTGGAAATAATCAGCACAACATTAACTTCAGAATGAAAGAAGATAAAATCCAAGAGGATTTAGAGCTTGTGGAAAGAAAACCCAACTTCATAAGGGACCAGAAAGGAATAACCAGAAGGCAACCGGCAGAATCTTTGCCTTGCAAGAGGAAGAAGCGGACCCATCTGTAATCGAGGGTAATTTAGTATATGTTTTATTTGATACTGGTGCATCACATTCTTTCATATCCTCTGCTTGTGCTAAGTCATTAGAACTTGAATGTGAACCTTTAGAAACTACCCTAAGTGTAATGTCACCTATGGGAGGATGCATTCGGGTAGGATTGATCTGTAAAGATTGTAAAATAGGAATGTCGAACCTACGCTTAACTTGCGACCCTCGTGTCATGGAAATGTCGGACTTCGATATCATTTCGGGCATGGACTGGTTGTCTGCCCACCGAGCAGTGATCGACTGTCGTCAGAGGAAAGTGGTAGCTCTTATGCAAGATGGGACACATTTCCTGTTTAAGGGGGATAGACAAGACCCTATGGCTTCGACAAAACATCGGACGCAGTGGCACGATCAACCTGCAGGTAGAATAGCAAGTCTGATTCTAAATGAGGAGGGCCAAGGAGAAATAGAACTTCCGCGCATAGTATGCGATTATGCAGATGTATTTCCTACGGAATTACCAAGATTGCCGCTAACCCGGGAAGTAGACTTTAGCATCGAGCTGCAACCTGGAACTACCCCAATATCCATGGCTCCGTATCGCATGGCACCAGCAGAACTGCGAGAATTGAACACACAACTACAAGAATTGCTCGAGAAAGGATTCGTTAGGCCAAGTACTTCGCCATGGGAAGCACCCGTGTTGTTTGCTAAAAAGAAAGATGGGTCGTTGAGGCTATGCATCGATTATCGTCAACTCAATCAAGTCACGATTAAAAACCGATACCCACTCCCAAGGATTGATGACCTTTTTGACCAACTTAGAGGCTCAAGGTGCTATTCAAAGATCGATCTCAGGTCGGGTTACCATCAACTACGAGTCAAGGAGGAGGATATACCGAAGACTGCCTTTCGTACTAGATATGGCCACTATGAATTTGTAGTAATGCCCTTCGGACCAACCAATGCACCGGCAGTACTCATGAGCCTAATGAATAAGATTTTTAGACCATACCTCGACCAGTTTGTAGTAGTGT